ATTTATGATAAGTGAAGCTAGGTAGATAATTTTTTTCATTACTAGCATTATTTGATGTGTTTGTAGTAGTATAGTATCCAAACACATCCATTATCTATCTTAACCTTACAATGTGAGTTAGCCTCAAGTAGTTTCAATCTATTCTACTTCATTATGATATATAGATTAGTGTGGTTAGATAGAATTGTGTTTTGGTTCATATATTTAATTTATAAAATTTAAGGGTTGGCTTAGGACCCGAATTGAGAATGTAATTTGTTGTCCTTACTACTTAGCACACGTTTGCATTGCAGTTTAGAGAAGGAAACGCGTTGGAATGTGTGAAACGCTGATTTGAAGGAGCCCAACCAATTTTTAGCAGAGACGTCCAGTGCAGCAAAACGTTGACGAGCTACTTCTGAGCATTGAAAAAGTTCGATTATTGTTAAATGAGCATTTAATGTTCATTCAATATATTACCTACCGTATTTGCCCTCCTCCCTCTCCTCACTCACTTTGCTCTTTTCTATCCTTTTTTAGTCATTTTACATTAAACTTATTTTTTTATTAATTATCCAAACATGTTTCAATTTTTTAAAGTGACTTTTTATAAATATCAATCCAAACAAAAATCACATTATACAAACTAACTTTTACTTCAATTCATATTTGTAAAAGTTAGATGAAGTAAAAGTCAATTTTGCTACCGCTAATCCAAATACGCCCTTAATAATCTTGCACCTTCATGTCCTGCTTATGTACTGGGTCACTAAAGTCAAACTCTAATTCATTGTAATACTGGATCCATGATTAAAGCTACACACACACATATATGCCAGGAAGAAAATTTCCTCATAAAACACAATCACCACACCAACTCTCATGATACAATCCCTCGCTGTCACATCCAGTATTATGGTATTTAGGGATAAGGAATATTTCTAAATAATCAAGGGCCAAAAGTGATAAAGAGAAATAGAAGAATTTTTTATGGAATTATTTAATGGTGATTTTCCAAGTTAATTATAAAAGTTTGACTAATTAAAGAAAATTGGTCAATAAGTAACAATAGAAAAATATTTCCAAGCCTAAGAAATTGAGAAAAATTAAGGATAATATTCCTTGAGAATTATATGATGATGAATAATTAGTTTTATGACCAAATTGCCCTTCGAGAAATTTCAAAAGAATTTAAAAGCGATTTAAACTAAATTGAAACTTCTTGTTTGGAAAATTCTAAATAAATAATTTTAAGGTAAGAAAAATTTCAACAAAAAAAAATCTTATGATGCCCTAAGGAATTATAAGAGATTATGAATTAAAAGGAATCCCTCAAATATTTAAGATATTCCATAATTTCCATGACAAGTAGAGAAGTCTCAATAAAAAAGAAAAATAGTTTTTCTTTTTATCTAATTAATGAGAATTTGAGATTGAGATAAAAAGGATTTTGGGAAGAGAAAAATGAGGAGAATAAATTATGGATTTGACAGAAAATAATTACAGAGACTAGAATATTGTAATTATAAAAAATAAATTAAACCCGGAGTAAAAATGCACCGATAAAGTGAAGACTATAATCTTTCACTTTACTTGGTCTACAAGTTGCCACTTGTCAAGCCTCTAATAAATAGTAACTAAACTTTCCAAGTGTTAAGCGTTAAGTGAAGAAGATTTTAACTTTTGAAAATTAATTTCATTTGAATTAAGTTAATTAAGAGAGACGTTACAAGAAGGAATAGGGAAATGACACTTGGCAAATCATTAATGTTGATTGTTGGGATATTTTGAGCCATTAAAGAAGAACTTCTTCCCCCTAAATTCAGATTGCATTTCGGCCTAGAGGGAAAAGAGAGAGAAAGCAAGAGTGATCTTGTGAAGAGATCAAGGAAAAGTGTAACGTACAAAAAAAAATAATAAAAGAAAATATAATATTTAATTAAAATAATATTTTATTAGTAAAAAAAAAAAAAACCAACCCCCTTCCACGGAGAGTTGAAAATTGGGGGGTGGGGGCAATTAATGAAGAAGGAAAAAGAAGGGGGGAGGGACGACTGCAGGAGAAGTAGGATGAGGTATAGGCAGAAGAAAATCAAGGAAGGAAATTAAATGCGAGGATTTTAAATACCTGCAACCTTTGTCTTCCCTTCATTACTTGCGAGAAGTAGAGAAAGAGAGAGCGAGAGGTAGAGAGGAAGAGAGAGCGAGTGAGCTGAGTTGCAGAGGATGTCAGTTTTGGAGATCATTCAGGTACACAAAACTACTTCTTTTTGTAAAATTTTCTTTATGAATATTTTCTATATATTTAGAGTTTTATATTATTAGTATCATTATAATGTTTGGAGAAAATTTTACCGTTTGAGCATAGAGTAAATATAGAGTTTTGACAATATTTGACCGTAGAAATTTAAAGATATATTATTAAAAAATTTTAATCGGTTTATATTTGTTTATTGATGGTTTTGGGAATTTTAAATGAAGATTTTAATTGAAAAAGTTGTTATTCAAGACTTCTAGAATGTTTTTACCGATTAAATTTAAGTTAAATAATTTATTTGAGTTATTTAATATATTATTAATATTTTAATCGGTTAGAATATCGAGTATGTCAAAGATATATTGTTGAAATAATTTTTGGAAGTATAAAGAATTGTTAATTGAGAATTTTATAAAAATTAAAATTTATTTATACTTCAAAGGAATTCCTTAGCTCAGGAAAAATTTTAAATGGGACTATAATAAATAGTTGAGATTTTAATATAAAATATTTATATTGTAAGAAATATATATTTATTTAAGTTATTAAATTTAAATAGTCTTATATGTAAATTATATTTTCAAAATATTATATTTATTATAAATAGAAAAATTTGGGAGAGTTAATATATTTATGTAATTTTGGTTTAGAGGGTAGTCTTAGAATTTTAAAGTAGTTTTGGAGTAGTTCTGAGTTTATATTAATAAATATTTATGTGCAATTTTGTAGACTCTTAAGAATTTTAGAGTAATCTTTGTGTGAATATTTGTAAGCTAAAGAGTACCAGGTAACTCTGAAAATTCTTTCTTGTACATGTGAATTGTGCATGATTATATTGTGGATCTACTAATTATTATATTACTGAAATATAATATTATGATTTTTTGTAAAATAAATGTTTTGGTATGTTACCTGATTTTATTAAGATTTGTTGCGAGTAATTATGATCAATATTTAAATATATTAACAGCTATGAAATTATCATGAGTTACTGTTAAATGGTGTATGAATTTTATTACTATCTTATTTTTAATAATATATTTAAGTGATGTACTGTTATTTGCATATGACATGCATTGTTGGGTTAAGAATAGAAAGAGATTGCATGGATATAAATTACCACGTGGTATGCCATCACTCGATACACAGTGGATGGCACTTGTCAAGGCCTCTTCTTCCATGTTTTTCTTTGGCCGGGAATTCATTAGAGCTGTGGGACATGTGACACCTCCCTATTCACAAAGGAGGGGAGTCATAGTCTGAGTTTGAGCTCTATATTTTTGGCCGGATATATCTCTAGTATTGGTAAGCTTGGAATAATTCAGTGGGATTAGTTCCTATCGGACTATGTGTTAGTCTATGGCTCCAGTCAGCGATATAAGGGTGGACGGTGATATAAGGGAGGCAGTATATTGCATTATTTTTGGATATATTAGAAAAATGATATTGGTATATTTTGGAACAAAAATGAAATTGAATTGAATGTATCAAATCTGTGATTTTTAATATATTTATATACACACATATAAACAGATTTTTGGTTTATCATATATGATTTGCTTGTATAGGTTAGAATTTCAGTAGTTACTGAGATGTTTGATCTCACCCCCCTATATTAACAATTTTCAGGTGAAGGATCTAGTAGGAATCAAGGGAAGGCACTAATAAAGTGAGTCGTGAAGGCTTTTGTGCTCATCAAGCACATGCTATGTTATATTTACATTTGTCATGACTATAAGACTTTAATAGCTTTTTGTTGTTATCTCAGATATTTTAAACTTATGACTTATTTGAAGTGTTAGAAATACATGACTTTTAAATGAAATATTTATCGTGTATATGGATATGATTATGTGAGGTGTTACATTTTTTGTATCAGAGCTACAACGTTCCATGGCTTTTTATTCGACTATAGTGAAATAATTTTCAAAAAAAAAAAAACAAAATTTGGCTAGAGGTTATGGCAATTTAAATATAATAACATGTGCACTTCATTAAAAGTTTATTTTAGTAATGTTGTTTAGTTACCTAGTGGTCCTTGTATTGTTACAAATAGGAAGGGAGAATGGTGAACACTCGAAGGACTAACTCTACCCTAGTTCCACATCAAAATGTTTCTTCTCGTCAAGATAATAATGCTATTTTGCGAGAATTATGAAATGATATTGTGAGCATTGATCAAAGAGTGAAGAGACATGAGGACGAGCTGTTGGCAATCAAAGGTTAGAGTGATAGCCATCAAGAAGAAAATGGCCCTGTTAATGATGAAGCTCCCAGTGACCATCAGTCAATAGGTGATACCCTTAGAGGCACTGAATCGAAAGGTGAGAGCAGTGCACATTCTCAACAAGACCTTGCGCGTATCACACTGCTCTGGGAAAGTTTTAGGAAGTTTGATCCTCCTAAGTTTGAGGGTAGGCTGAATCCATCTGAAGCTAAAGAATAGATCGAAAGGTTAGAGATTATATTTAGAATAGTAATCTGCATCTTGCAGGAAAAAGTGCAACTTGCTGAGCAGCTGTTACAAAAGGTAGCAAGGAAGTGGTGGGACAGCATTAAGCCTTTTGAGAGCGCAGAGATAACTTAGGAAAGGTTCAAGGAAAAATTCTTCCAACACTATTTTCCTAATGCCCTTAGAGCTGATCAAGAAGTAGAATTCTATGCCTTCAAGCAAGGGAACTTAAATGAGGAAGACTTCATTGCTCGATTTCTCGAGTTAGTCAAATATACTACTTATCCGCAGATGCAACCTAACTCAAAATGGATGGCTGATAGGCTACTGGAAAAGGCCAGGCCAGAATTAAGAACAGCTCTGGCACCCTTGGAGATTAATGATTTTGAAAAAATGTGCACCAAATTGCGAATCATTGCTAGAAGAATGAGAGAAGAAGAAGCTGAGAAGAGAAAAGAATCTTATACAAGGTCCGTTCCATTCATGAGACCAACAGGAGGAATTGGTAAGAAGAATACTTACAGCTTCAATAACTCCAAGAAGCGATTTAATCAGCCCTCAAGGAATCAATCTGGTGGACCTTCGAGGAGTCAATTCAGTGGACCCATGAGGAGTCAATTCAGTGGACCTCCAAAGAGTCAGGTCAGTGGGGGACAGAGCTCTTACAAGGGTTCTACAGCTCCTATCACTAGCACTGCCAATAGTCAAAAGTGTGCCAAGTGTGGAAAAGTGCATCAAGGAAATTGTAGTATCTGCTTCAAGTGCGGGAAACTAGGCCACATTTTTAGATTCTGTGAGGAAGGCTCGCAAGGGGTCAATGATACTAGAGCTGCCGTCCCAGGAAGAGTGTTCGCTCTATCTCAACAAGAAGTTGATGCTGCCCCTAATTTGATTAAATGTATTCTCAAACTCCAAGGCTTTGAAACTCAAGCTTTATTTGATTCTGGTGCAACACACTCATTTATATCTGATGATTATGTGTCTTGCTTAAGTATGCATAAGTATGATTTGCCCTGTGATGTGATTGTTTCTACGCCGGCGGGAGTCTCGGTGAAAACTTCTAAAGCATGCTTGAATTGTATAATTGAAATTTGAGGGTAGAACTTCCACTATAGACCTTGTTTGTCTCCCCTTAAAGGGTATTGACTTGATTGTAGGAATGGATTGGTTGTCGGCAAATGATGCCATCCTAGATTGTAGAAGGAAGACCATTTCTTTGTTGGTCTTCTCTGTAGGTTCTGGTAGTCTACAACTGTTGTCTTTAGTGCAAGTTGAAAAGTGTATTCGAAAGGATTATCAAGCCTATATAGTGTTCTCTGTTCACACAACAGTTGAAAAAGGCGTAGAGGAGATTGTAGTGGTGAGTGAATTCCCGGATGTGTTTCCGGAGGAGATAACAGGTTTGCCTCCGGAGAGAGAAGTGGAGTTCTATATTGATCTTGCACCTGGAACTGAGCCTATCTCTAAAGCTCCTTATCGGATGTCTCTATCAGAATTAGCAGAGTTAAAGAAACAGATTGAGGAGTTGCTGGAAAAGGGCTTCATTAGGCCAAGTGTATCCCCTTGGGGTTTGCCTATGCTCTTTGTGAAGAAGAAGGATGGGAGCATGAGACTGTGCATTGATTACCGCCAATTGAATAAGGTAACCATAAAGAACAAGTACCCTTTACCCAGGATCGATGATCTACTTGACCAGCTATCTGGAGCGTCAATATTCTCTAAGATTGACTTAAGATCAGGTTATCACCAATTAAGGGTTAGATATGAGGACATCCCAAAAATTGCATTTAGAACAAGATATGGCCACTATGAATTCCTTGTTATGCCGTTTGGGTTAACCAATGCTTCAGCTGTCTTTATGGATTATATGAACAGAGTCTTCCGACCTTACTTGGATAAATTCGTAGTGATCTTTATTGATGATATCCTTATTTATTCTAAGGATGAGGAAGAGCATAAACAACATCTTAGAATTGTGCTGCAAGTGTTAAGGGAACACAAACTCTATGAAAAGTTGTAAAAATGTGATTTTTGGCTCAAAGAAGTAAAATTCTTGGGTCATGTTGTATCAGATGAAGGTATGTCGGTAGACCTTAGTAAGATTGATGTAGTGTTAAAGTGGGACCGACCACAAAGTGTCACAGAAATCAGAAGCTTTCTAAGACTGACAGGCTACTATAGGAGATTCATTAAAGGCTTTTCGCAGATAGCTATGCCCTTAACTAGACTAACTAAAAAGGACCAACCGTTTGTTTGGACTGAGAAATGTGAAGCAGCCTTTCAGACTTTAAAGACCAAGTTGACCACCGCACCGGTACTTGTGATTCCAGACCCTACACAATCTTTCACTTTGTATACTGATGCTTCTAAGAAGGGTCTTGGGGCTGTATTAATGCAAAATGGTAAGGTAGTTGCTTATGCTTCTCGACAATTGAGGCCGCATGAGGAAAACTATCCTACTCACGAGTTGGAATTGGCAGCAGTCGTATTTGCATTGAAGATTTGGAGGCACTATCTCTATGGTTCGCAGTTTGAGATTTTTAGCGACCAAAAGAGTTTGAAGTACTTGTTTGATAAAAAAAAAACTTAACATGAGACAAAAAAGGTGGATGGATTTTCTTAAGGATTATGATTATGAGTTAAAGTATCACCTAGGGAAGGCAAACATTGTAGCAGATGCTTTAAGTAGAAAATCTATCCATGCAGCCCAATTGATGGTCAAGGAGTGGAACCTACTGTAGGATGTGCAAAGTACACCTATTGATATAATGTCTGGGTTAGTTGCTACCATGAAAGCACTAACCATTGAGAGTACAACTTAGAAGGAAATTAAAATTGCCCAGTTGGATGATGAGTATCTACTAAGGGTTAAGAAAGAAGTTGAACAAGGAAAAGAGTCAAAGTTTAGTATTGGTGAAGATGGGATACTAAGATATAAAGCGAGGGTGTGTCTCCTTAATGATAAAGAGTTAAAGAAATTACTACTTGATGAAGCTCATAGAAGCAAATATACTATCAACCCTGGAGTGACCAAAATGTACCATGATCTAAAACGAAACTGGTGGTGGCCTAGTATGAAGAAAGATGTAACTAAGTTTGTTTCTCGTTGTCTAACTTGCCAAAAGGTCAAGATTGAACACCATAAGCCCCTAGGACTATTGCAAAATCTAGAGATTCCAGAATGGAAGTGGGATAGTATGTCTATTGATTTTATCACAAGTCTTCCTAGAACTCAATCTGGGCATGATGCTATTTGGGTGATTGTTGACAGATTGACTAAATTATCCCATTTCCTAGCCATCAAGACAAATTACTCTTTGGAAAAGCTAGCATAGATCTATGTGAAGGAGATCGTCCGATTACATGGCACACCAAAGAGTATTATATCAAATCGAGATCCACGATTCACTTCAAGGTTTTGGAGATCATTGCAAGATGCCATAGGAACACGGTTGAGGTTTAGCATCGCCTACCATCCCCAAACTGATCGATAAACAGAGAGAACTATCCAAACTCCTGAGGATATGCTAAGAGCTTGTGCAATTGAATTAAAAGGAAATTGGGATGATCACCTTCCTTTAGCAGAGTTTGCTTACAATAATAGCTTCCACTCAACTATTCAGCTGGCGCCTTATGAAGCATTGTACGGAAGAAAGTGTAGATCTCCACTTTGTTGGACAGAATTAAGTGAGAGAAGTTTGATAGGTCCAGAATTGGTGGATTACACAACTCAGAAGATTAAGATGATACAGCAGAAGTTGCTTACTGCCCAAAGCAGACAGAAAAGTTATGTAGATAGGAGAAGATGACCGTTGGAATTCATGATAGGAGACCATGTATATTTAAGAGTCAAACCGATGACAAGTATTGGAAGATCAATTCGAGCAAAGAAATTCACTCCCTGTTTTATAGGTCCTTATGAAATTTTGGAAAGAGTAGGACCAGTGGCTTACAGAATTGCCCTACCTCCACAATTGGCGAACATTCATAATGTATTTCATGTGTCACAACTCAAGAAGTACTACCCAGATCCATCTCATGTGATTGAGCCTGAAGAGATAGAGTTACAAGAGAATCTTACTTTCAAGGCCGAACTTGAATGCATTCTAGACGTTAAGGATAAGCAACTTCGGAATAAAACTATTCGGTTGCTTAAAGTTTTCTGGAAAGGAATGTCTCCTGGGGACGCCACATGGGAAACCGAAGAGCAAATGCGGCGTGATTTTCCTAACTTGTTTGATTAGGAAGAGTTAGCATTGTATTAGTTTTGGTGATTGTATTATGTTGTACTTGTACTTGTACTTATTGTACTTGTGTTGTGCTTTTGATGTGTAGTATAAACATTTGTATTTGTGTCTGTTGCTTGAAGTAAACTCTTTTTCTTTTCGTGTATTGAATTTTGGGGACAAAATTCTTTTAACGTGGGAAGAATTGTAACGTACAAAAAAATAATATTTTATTAAAATAATATTTTTATTAATATAATATTTTATTAGTAAAAAAAAAAAAAGCCAACCCCCTTCCACGAGAGTTGAAAATTGGGGGGTGGGGCAATTAATGAAGAAGGAAAAAGAAGGGAGGAGGGACAATTGCAGGAGAAGTAGGATGAGATATAGGCAGAAGAAAATCGAGGAAGGAAATTAAATGAGAGGATTTTAAATACCTACAACATTTATCTTCCCTTCATTACGTGCGAGAAGTAGAGAAAGAGAGAGCGAGAGGTAGAGAGGAAGAGAGAGCGAGTGAGTTGAGTTGCAGAGGATGTCAGTTTTGGAGATCATTCAAGTACACAAAACTACTTCTTTTTGTAAAATTTGCTTTATGAATATTTTCTATATATTTAGAGCTTTATATTATTAGTATCATTATAATGTTTGGAGAAAATTTTACCGTTTGGATATAAAGTAAATATAGAGTTTTGACAACATTTGACCGTAGAAATTTAAAGACACATTATTAAGAAATTTTAATCGGTTTATATTTGTTTATTGATGGTTTTGGGAATTTTAAATGAAGATTTTAATTGAAAAAGTTGTTATTCAAGACTTATAGAATGTTTTTACCGATTAAATTTAAGTTAAATAATTTATTTGAGTTCTTTACTATATTATTAAGATTTTAATCGGTTAGAATATCAAGTATGTCAAAGATATATTGTTGAAATAATTTTTGGAAGTATAAAGAATTGTAAATTGAAAATTTTATAAAAATTAAAATTTATTTATACTTCAAAGGAATTCCTTAGCTCAGGAAAAATTTTAAATGGGACTATAATAAATAGTTGAGATTTTAATATAAAATATTTATATTGTAAGAAATATATTTATTTAAGTTATTAAATTTAAATAGTCTTATATGTAAATTATATTTTCAAAATATTATATTTATTATAAATAGAAAAATTTGGGAGAGTTAATATATTTATGTAATTTTGGTTTAGAGGGTAGTCTTAGAATTTTAGAGTAGTTTTGGAGTAGTTCTGAGTTTATAGTAATAAATATTTATGTGCAATTTTGTGGACTCTTGAGAATTTTAGAGTAATCTTTGTGTGAATATTTGTAAGCTAAAGAGTACCAGGTAACTCTGAAAATTCTTTCTTGTACATGTGAATTGTGCATGATTATATTGTGGATCTACTAATTATTATATTACTGAAATATAATATTATGATTTTTTGTAAAATAAATGTTTTGGTATGTTACCTGATTTTATTAAGATTTGTTGCTAGTAATTATGATCAATATTTAAATATATTAATAGCTATGAAATTATCATGAGTTACTGTTAAATGGTATATGAATTTTATTACTATCTTATTTTTAATAATATATTTGAGTATATTTATGATGTACCGTTATTTGCATATGACATGCATTGTTGGGTTAAGAATAAAAAGAGATTACATGGATATAAATTACCACGTGGTATATCATCACTAAGTGCACAGTGGATGACACTTGTCAAGGCCTCTTCTTCCATGTTTTCCTTTGACCGGGAATTCATTAGAGCTGTGGAACATGTGACACCTTCCTATTCACAAAGGAGGGGAGCCATAGTCCGAGCTTGAGCTCTGTATCTTTGACCGGATATATCTCTAGTATCGGTGAGCTTGGAATAATTCAGTAAAATGGATTAGTTCCTATCGGACTATGTGTTAGCCTATGGTTCTAGTTAGCGGTATAAGGGTAGACGGTGATATAAGGGAGGCAACATATTGCATTATTTTTGGATATACTAGAAAAATGATATTGGTATATTGTTAGAACAAAATGAAATTGAATTGAATGTATCAAATCTGTGATTTTTAATATATTTATATACACATATATAAACAGATTTTTGGTTTATCATATATGATTTGTTTGTATAGGTTAGAATTTCAGTAGTTACTGAGACGTTTGATCTCACCCCCTATATTAACAATTTTCAGGTGAAGGATTTAGTAGGAATTAAGGGAAGGCACCAATAGAGTGAGCCGTGAAGGTTTTTGTGCTCCTCAATCACATGCTATGTTGTATTTACATTTGCCATGACTATAAGACTTTAGTAGCTTTTTGTTGTTATCTCAGATATTTTAAAATTATGACTTATTCGAAGTGTTAGAAATACATGACTTTTAAATGAAATATTTATCGCGTATATGGATATGATTATGTAAGGTGTCACAAAAAGCAAGCATATTTGGTCTTCCAACTAAAATTCAAGCTTAGTAAGTTGTTTTAAGATGTTCCTTGCTTTGTTTTCTTGAATTGTATGGCTGGAAAATCATTTTTTTGTCCCTTCCTATTGCTGGCTGAAATGGATACAGTGTAGGAAAGGAGGTTTTGTTGTTAAACATGGCTAGGACACTATGATTCAAGGCGGTTTCAATTGGTTTGGTGTTGTTTTGAAAAAATTTTCATGATTGAACTCCAAGAAGTATGGTTCGGCCACCTTCAAAACAGGAACATAGGATGAGTTTTTCAATGTTTTGATGCTTCCGTTGTGTTAAAAATGAAAAATAGTGTAGGATAAACCTAAAGAACAAGTGTTAGAAGCATTAGAATTAAAGTTGTGATTTTTGAGAAACAACTCCAAAAATCAAAGTTTACGGGATTAAAAGTTACTTGTTTTGCCTTTGATTCTTGCATGGTTTGGTTAGTAATGTTACTGTCCCTTTTATGATTTGTGATATTAGGGTTTATTAATTGTGGAGAAGAGGAAGAAGGTCAAAGAATCAAGAGTATTTGGATCAAGGTAGTAGAATTTAATTAGCCACTAATGTTAACTTCGCATTGTTATTTATGATATGAATGTTTACTATTATATGGTTGAACTACGATGTTTATGATATGGTTGCTCCTTGCATTTTGTTGCCTTGGCTATTGCATGTTAAGGTTGCCTATTATAAGATGACTGATTCTCCTTTGATAGCTATTGTTGAAGTGCTTTATAATGATGTATGTTGATGTTTTGATTGATTGATCTTGTTATTGAGATTTCATTGAAATCTTATTTCCCATATGTAACCTGACATTTTAGAGACTGAATCATCAAAACAAAGGCTGCAAATTCAAGGATAATTGTGGTGGTGAATCACGAGGAAACAATTATATTCTAGTTATGTATAAGTATGTATGTTTGATGATTTTTTTTGGGAATTTTTAAGTCCAAGACCATCCAATGTGACCTACAATGGTTCTAAATGAACTCTAAATCATACTAAAAATAAGGCGTAACACTCGGTAACATCACGGGCTGAACTACAATATCTTAGAATGTTTTTGAATATTTCTGACATCAACTGTTATAAATATATGAATCTCACCTAATCCCAAGTTTCTAATAGTTTCAGAAGAGGAGAACATGAAAAAACCACCAACGAAACCTTCTGTCCAGATAGAAAATGAAAACATCTATTATAGAATAAAAAATAACACTAGGACATACCAACAAATTGCTGCTTTAGAACTAGATGAATTGGAGCCTTTATCTGTGACTCCCACAAGAAAACGGCAATCCCCATCTGAAGGATCTAGGAAAGTCACCATGCCAAGGCCATCGAAATCACAGCTTCGCGAATCTTGCATTTGCAACTGATAGTAACTGTTGAAAGCATATGAGATGTTACCCTTCTCCCCTACCTCGTTACATGAACCGCCATAGTTAAGTGTTGTGCAATCTGCAACACTACAGGCAATTCTCATGTGATTCGCCACTTTCGTCAGATCGGTTGAGGGATTAGCAACACACCATCTAGATGGAAGATATTCAACATTCTTAGCATTCTTCAATTCCTTGTTTCCAAGGCCAAGGTTCAGTGGATATTTAGCCAGTCCATCAAAAGAGAAAATCCCCCAATGTCTTTCAAAGTTTCCAGGAAGGGTGCTTTTCGCTCCTTCATCAAGTAGACTGAATATATAGACATCCATGGGAGGAGCACCTGGCCTTAAAGGGGTCCCTTTGTTACTCATGATATGTTTTATGAGACCTTGGTTGAAAACTTTTGCTGCGGTAATATTTGCACCAATAGCTCCATCCGAGGGCCAACCAATTTCCCCAATCACTATCGGTATTTGACCATATCCAATTTTATCAAGGGCTGCAACTAAGGTGTCATAGTTTCCATCAAATGCATTGGTGTAAATGTTGGTGCCATCGGTGACTGGATGAGTACTTCCCTCAAAGAATGCATAGTCTTGGGGAAAATCACCGTTATCATAAAGGCTTAAAAATGGGTAGATATTTACTACGAATGGGGAACCATTTGCATTGAGAAACTGAACAAGTTGACTGATAATTTGGGCCAGTTCAAGACGGAATGTACCTTGAGAAGGAAGTGTAGCCTCATAGGCATCTGCATTGCAAGGTACCACTAATTTTACATAACCAGCAAGATTAGCTTTAACTAAAGACTGCTGTAGATTGAGCATTGCAGGCATGACCAAGTTTTGAAATTGGCCATTATAACTTGTCAGAAATGGCTCGTTTCCAACTGCAACATACCTATCACCAGAAAGAGAGAGTTAAGAGGCTTGCGGATGATCAGAGTACCCATATATACAGACCACAAAAATTTAAAAGGAAGAAAAGTATCAATTCTAGTGAGTTGTAAACTTTTGTTCTTCAGACATCATAATCTGCTCTTACCTTAAAGATTTCAAAAATAGCTTAAACCTTAAACCAGTAACATGGATAATTGGATATTTACATATTGAGCTAGTCAGGCATTACATCAAATGACTGCATGTATGGCAGTAGTCATCACTAACCTACATTAAAATAAGCTTGATTGGGATTGATCACCACTTTTTTCAGATTTTCCCCAACTTTATCAGGATTGATTGTGTCAACTAACACATTAACATCAACTAACTAATTATTAGATCATGGAAATTATTAACATTAACTGCCCATGGGAAAGTTGATAGCTAGCAAGTCAGAAGACTGATGTGACCCAAGAGGTCAAAGGCAGGAAAGCCATTGAACTCAGAGCTTCTACTAAATAAATTTTCAGTTTCTCTAGTACTCCAAAAGTCCTGATTTGGTCCTTCCAGTTCTAATTGAATCAATATTGTCATTCAATACATGGAAATAATGCAGTCAAGTCATTCCATCCCAATTTGTTCCTATGATGACCAAAGCTGATGATATTTCAATCACATGTGAAGAAGTGATTGAGGACAGATGAAATTGCTGAATCATAGGTAATCAAGCCATCCATTTCCCTACCAAATCCAGGCAAAATAGAGTGATGTCACTTAATTACATGTCATACAATGAGTTCATGTGGCGTAAATTACAACTAAGTATGTTAACGAGACATGATTTTGTAACTGCATTTTATTTTTCTAAATGTTGATAGACAACACAACATTGACTCAATCAAAACTAGAGAAATTAATTAAAATATTTCAATACTAAAGATACTAATTAAAGCTTATTTTAGAAAATGTGATGTTCTGGGGAGGATAAATTCTACAAGCCATCTAGGATCTAACCATCAGAAGTTCAATCAAGTCAAGCATTCAAAGCAAAAAGTTTGTTCACAAAATATTCTTTAGGCAAACCCAAGAAATAGCCTTTTTACTTGCCATGAGACACTCCCCACATATTAAGTTGAAAAAAAAATCACAGTTCATAAAAATAATACCAAAAAAGAAAGCAAGTTCCTCATCCAGCTTAGACTTTTTGATAGGAATACTATAATTTTTCAGTTATTTCACATTACAATTGAGAATTCAAAGTTTGGAAATTATAATAATAAAAGATACTCGTCCAAATTATTTTACAGTCTGATTAATCCTCGGATCCTCAGAATTTTTAATGAAATATTTCCACAAAACATCATTTGATTCAGAGGACCACGTCGTTTTGAGGGCTTCAAAAAGCTAAAGCAACTTTCTTTAGTTAGGACAGCCACCATCAACTCTCAAGTCATTAAATAAAAATAAGAAAAAACATAAATCATACAAGTTGCAACAAGAAAAGATACTTTGAGAAATACCACACAGATATCTACCACATGAGCTAGTGGTAGGCATATACCCTACGATCTCAATAGTAAAAACTATTACTTCAGAAGTTAGTCTTTGATAAAACAGCTATGCATATTGAACAAGAGCATGGAATTTTCACTTCCTTAGGAAACAAAAGGAAACAAAAAACGAGAATCGAGAATTGAAAAGACAAGACCAACCTGATATCCGCACCACCTTTACCTATATACGACGAAACATTCTGGCGAACCCACAAATCAGCAGCAGAAGGGGAAGAACCTAACAGAGACAACATCTCATTGGGGATTCCAACCATGACCTGAATCCCACTTCCCATAAGAGCCTTAAGAACATCAGGCTCTGCTTCAAACAGCTTCACTTTCGGGATCTTGTTGTCTTTCAAGAGACCCACCACTGTAGATGGCTTCAACCTATGGGATGAAACCGTGCCCCAGTTCACTCCTATCGCTGATTCCGCTATTGGAGTCCAAGCTAGTAACCACAAGAGCACAACACCACCTCTAAATCTTGACTGCAACATTTTTACCACTCAAGATGTTAATGCTATCCTTGGAAGTTCGAAGACAAAACAGTCAGCCACTCTTTGCAAATATTGTCGATCTTTGATTTCAGAGAGAGAGGGAAGGGTGGGGGTGGGAACGATGTGAAATGTTAAGAGCGAAGTCAGGAAGCACAGTCTGAATGGAACTGAAATGAGTAAAGGAAAAGTTGGCCAAAAAAAAAAAAAAAAAAAAAAAGAAGAAGAAGAAAGAAAGAAAGAAATGAGTAAAGGACTAAAGGAGGAGCAAGCGATTTATGATGGAAATAAAATATTATTTTTAATCTATTAGATAGGGGACAGTGAAATTACATGACTCTCCTAGCTTTCTGATTGTCTGATTGTCTCCTAGCACATGCTTATGTTGCTTGCACATTATTTCCGATTTTTTGGTGTTATGTGTCGAAAACTTGAAACAGTACTATTCAAGATGAGGTCAATATTCTATCTATTTTCTTAATAACATGTATATGTTTCAAGCAAAAAAATAATACATACATAATGTATGTATATATATAATTTCAAAGGATTTAAATGGGTAGATTAAAACCACCTTAAAAAGCACTTAGCAGCTAAATATCTACAATTAAGTGTGGTCAAAAAATTATTGGCTGAAGTTTGATGAGGGTGTCTAAATGTATTTGTGAGGCCATCTTTCAAGGAAAAAATTATTTTTAGAATTGGATTGATCATTCAATCAACAAAAAAAAATGATTTAAAATTTATTAATTTAATTACAAGCAAATTGTGATTGAACTAATATTGCCCCCTCTTGTAAAGGAGGTCATGGGTTCTATGCCCCACGTTGCCCATTAGGGGTGTGTGTGGGTCCTCTCCCCCATTAAATTATCCATGTCAAAAAATAAATAAATAAATAAATTTTTAAGAGAAGATGACATATAAAGCAACCTAAAATTATGATATCACAATTTAGACACCTAACACTTTAAAATGACAGAGAAAGAAATAAACCTAAATTGAAAATTTGAAATTCTAGAAAAATTACAAAAAATTATTTTTTTAAAAAAAGTTTGGAACCCCACACTGGAGCCCTCGCTGGTGATCGGCTGCCGACCACCACCAACAGCTAGTTGGCCGTCGACAGGCACTGGAGCTCTAGCACAAGTCGGCGAGGTGGTTGCCAAAAGGATAATTAACCACTGGGCCAGGAAGCTTTCTCATTTAAATTATGCAATATATATATATATATATATATAAGTTCACTCATTTAATTTGGCTCCAATTCATGACAATAATTTATCTGAGAATAATAAATTTTGATTATAGAATGACAAATCTAAATTTGGAATTAACAACACTTTTTTTCTCATATATATAACATGTGAATCAATTAAAAATGACAACAATTCATTAGGCAATAACAAATCCTGATTGTAAAATAATAAGTTTTGAGTTGATATTAACAACATTTTTTCCCGATGCATAACATATAACTCATTACAAATTAAAATACTTTTTATAAATTATAAATGTTATAATTATAACTAGTATAATAAAAAAATATTTTTATATTTTTTATAAATTGGAGATATTTATAAATTATAAATAATATAATTAAGAGGGAAAATTCCAGATAAAGAAGCCTAAAATTATGATATTCCAATTCTGTCATCTCACACTCCAAGATGAAAGCAAAAGAAGTAAACTCAAATTGGACTCTTGAGCTTCAAGGAAAATTACAAAAATCCCCTTTAATTCTTTTTAAAAAAGTTCAAAGACCCCTGCCGAAGCCCTGCTAGCGTCCGGCTAGCCATCGCTTGTGGAGCCTTTTTTCTTTTTGTTTTTTTTTTGGGCTAGGAGATTTTTTTTTAAATGGGGGAAAAGTAAGGTTGATGGGATTTAAGATTAACAGCACATCTTTACATGATACATAACGTGAAATAACATGTAAATTAATTAAAAATAATAACAATTCATCTGAGAATAACATATCTTGATTGTGAAATGACAATTGTAGATTTGATATTAATATGTTTTTTTTCCCGATACATAATATGTGAATCATTTATAAATACTTTCTAATTTATATGTCCATATAACTCATTATAAATTAAAATATTTTTTTACATGCTTTATTTATCTCCACTACTTTTGCATCTCTTCTTGGCTGTTATTTTGCATGCATACACACCATCTTGGGGCTTGAGTCCTATGAATGTATATATAATTTCAATAAAACTTAATAGAGGTATATGTTACTATGTTTTTAGAAGTCAATAGTATTCTTTGTCTAAAACTTTTTTTTGTTGAGAAAAGGTATATTAATATATTATAGAAAAACAAAATAGATTATTATTATGCATTATTTTTTCAATTTTTTTGAATCAGGCTACGTATATAATTTTGATATATATACCTTAGAAATGCAAGATCCTTGAGTACCCTCATCTATATAATTTTGATATATATACCTTAGAAATGCAAAACAGATAAATAGCATGCAAAACATTGTCACCCAGAAAGACGTAAGAGACGCAAAAGCAATGAAGATGAATAAAACATGTGAAAAAGTATTTTAATTTATAATAAGTTATATGAACATATAGACTAAAATGTATTTATAAATTGATTCACATGTTATTTCATAGGAAAAAAACCTGTTGTTAATCCTAAACCAGACTTATCATTTTATAATTAAGAAATATTATTCCCAAATGAATTGTCATTATTTTTCATTGATTTACATGTTTATTTCACATTTTATGTATCAGAAAAAGAGTGTTGTTAATCCCAAATCCAAATCTGTCATTTTACAATCCACACTTATTATTTTGAGATAAATTGTTATCATTAGCTGGAACCAAAATAAATGAGTTAACTTACAATATTTTTGCCTTATAATGTTAACAAAGCTTGTTGGCTCAATAGTCACTCTTCATTATGGGATCCACCAAGTTGGGATTTGATATCCCACCAACCTCACTTTCCTCCCCCTTTTAAAAGAAATTGCTCCAGTCACAAAAGAGAAGAACTCCATCGACAGCTGGCTCGCCACCGTTAGTGCCGGAGCTCCCATCAACCTCACTTTCCTTTTCCTTTTGAAAAAAACTCCTCCAACCAAGAAAAGTATTTTTCAGCTCAAAAAAAAAAACCAAGAAAAGTATTTTTATATTTTTATAAATTATAAATAATATAATCATTGCAATGAAAAGATGTGTTATTAAACCAACGGTGGTTGGCGTAGTGGTAGCTTCACTTCGTCGCTTAACCAGAGGTTTTGAGTTCGAGCCCTGGGAATGCAGCCTACCCCTTGGCCAGCACTTTGCCCTTAAATGGAGGTTCCCGGTACGATCCGGATTAGTCTGGTTTGTAATTGGATCCGTCCTTACGGGGTTGGCCAGGACACCGGGTGCTATACGCAAAAAAAAAAAAAACGTGTTATTAATCCGAGACTTATTGTTTAAGAATCAAACACAATTGTTACAATTTATAAAAGAACGCAGGCCACAAAAGGGTCAAACAATCACCATAAAAAAGAAACAAATATGAAGGTAAATAAAAGCAAAGATTCATCTAGTATAGAAGGAAAAACTAATATGATAATCCTTATAGTTTCACTCAATTTTAAATCAATCCTTATATATATTTTTTATTTCATCCTTATTGTTTGCTAATTAGTGATGACAGTCCTTCCTTTTGTGATACGTGAAGATGTCGTTATTTTAAGTTGAAAAGTACTGATGTGGCAACTGACTAATCATCTTCGTCTTCCCTCTGCTTCTCTCTCCCTCCTCCACTGTGTCTTCTTCTAAATCAACACCATTATCTCCTCAAGCCAACCTTGTCACCTACTTATGGCATCACCGTCTTCGGCCCACTGAGTCTCATATGGAAACGTCTCCACCGTACCCGATTTCCCCCTCGAGTTGCCTCTCTTCTGTCAAATGGAGAACTGCCAAGGGAAGCTTGGCGTTGGTTTACGATGTGGCGAAGGATGAGTGGTCGGAGTTGCGGCCAATGAGTCAAGAACGGGACAAGTGCGAAGGGAGGTGATTGGAGAAATAAGGGATGTTCGAAGCGTCGGGGACGCGTGCGAATTTTGGTTGGGTCGGTGAAGGTGGGTAGGACACAGAGAAAGATAATGGCTTTGGCTTTGGCTTGGAACGAGATAGAGCAAGAAATCAAGCAAACTAGTTTGTACCCATAAGCAACTAGTTTTTCTCGTTGTATGGTGTTTGTGTTTAATTGGCTGGTTGAGTCATTTCGTCAACACGAAAGAGAAGAGAAGAACTGGGTATGATTGTTGCTTCTGGTTTTCATTTGGATCTGGTTGGCGGTGATTTTCTGTAGCTTTGTTTTGCAAAAGGTTGGATTTTTATGTTATCGTTATAAACCACAATGACTAATGGAGAAGAGAAAGGCAATGACTTCTATGCACATAATCATAGCTTATAAATACTTGTAAGAAACTTGCAATGGTTAGAATTGAATGCCTCTGTTCATCTTTCTTTTTTTCTTAATAATAATGATCCTGTTTGTTTTCGAAATTCATTCATGTCGCCAGTCTTGTAAGATTCTAAAAACTTGGCTTGTGGAGATAATGGCGTTGGCTTGGAAAAAAATAGAATGGAGGAGGGAGAGAGAGGAGGTATTACAGGTGAAGCCGGGAGAGAGACAGCGCGTAGGTAGGTTGCATATAAATAATCAGCAAACAATAAGGATGGAATAAATAGGAAAAAAATTATAAAAACTTAATTTAAAATTGAATAAAACTATAAAGACTGTCTTATTAATTTTCTTAGTATAAAACTCTTAGGGTTTTTTTTTTTTGGGGGGGGGGGTTCAGCCCATCAGTGACCCACAACAATCCTTATGGGACATCTGTCATTGGTTGTGAATAAACATAATTAGCTAGTCTCACCTGATTTGCACTTGAGTGCCCAACCTTAGATGTAGTGTTTCTTGATATCCGCTGCAAACCCACTTGAGTGCCCGACTGCATGAAGCAAGAATTAGTCTCTGTCTAGCTATAAAGCTAACTTTAGAGGTAATGACATGAAGCTGATAAGCCCATTAATGTTTAGCAGATCCCAAAATAAACTAAAGTTCACAAAAAAGACAACAGTCCATAAATTTGT